TTGTGGTTTTATGTCAAACTAATATATAAATAAAATCACTAAATCAGCTTCTTTATGCACCAACAGAGCCACAGAAGCTCAGCAGTTCACCACCACGCTGCTAACAGCAGAAAACTTTAGCTTTAAGGGGTAAAAGTTGAGGTTTAGGCGGGCCTGGTACCTGTAGCGGGTCCCGGATGGCTGTGAGTCCGGAACAGTCCAGGAATCAAAGGTTAGCTCGTCCGGCTGGATCCGGGACTCCAGTCCGCAGGCTGAGCCCTTTCCTGGGCTGTGATAAACCTCCTGAGACGGAACAACCTCCGGCAGCCTCCAGCCTCCGGCTCACACCGTTTAAATTCCTCCGGTCGAGCCCGACGCGTCTCTCCGAGCGGCTCTAGCTAACGTTAGAATCCCGGCGGAGTGACTCCGGACGAGGCTCGGCCCCGGACACAAACGTGGGAAAGGCGCCGCTCAGCGACGGTATTGTCTGGATATACGGACCGAGGAGGAACGCCCACAGTGGGAGTTTCCTCCAGCCGACCCCCCGCTCCGCCGACACCATGGATTCATTCAGTCCACGTTCCGAGCGGCGCGGTCCCCACAGATCCGGCCGGCGCGCGGGGACCTCCTCCCGGGGCGAGTCACCGCGGGAGGCCCGGCGGAGGCACACGGGTGTTTACGGAAGGACCAGGTGTGACCCGGACAGGAAGGACCGGCCATCACACGTTAGCATCCAGATGTATGGTTGATTTGAATTTAAATGTAGGTCCATACATGGCCGGGTTTACCTCCAGAGGGGTCCCGGGGCAGATCCTGGTTGTTGGGCCCCTGTGGTGGGGGCAGACCGGGGTATCATACCAGGGTGCATTGTGGGAACCCAGGTGTGACATGAGACACAAAGGTCACCTTAATGACAGTCATTAAATGTTGGCATTAAGATGTAGTTTTTATTTTAATTTAAGTTCAGGTGAGGATCCAATCAGGTCCACACATGGCCGGCTTTACCCCCTCGGGGGCCCCGGGACAAACACCTGTTGGGCCCCTGATGGCCCCCAAGAGTGTTCCTGTTGCCCCACAGCATACAGAACCGGAGCAGCCCCAGAGGGTTGTCATCACTTAATTTAATTCTTTAAGCAGTAATTCTGTGGTAGGAACATTTTCTGTGACACGACCTCATCTGTGTGTCATCGTCTTCTTAAAAACATCAATAAATAAAAATAAAATCTTCTGTATATGATGTTTTGTTTTCTTGCAGTATTTGCACTGAGTGTTCCCAAAGTATTCTTGCACTGACTGAACATTTATTTTTGGAGCTGTTGTAACGTGAACTTTCCCCACTGTGGGATCAATAAAGTTTATCTTTATCTTTATTAAACTGAATGTTGTTGGACTCTGGACGGATGCTCAGACACAACAAGAAATAATAAATAAACAATAAGAAATAAAATCTAAACATGGACTTTAGAAAAGAACAACTGGCATATTTTTAGATTTCTTTTCCATTTTCTGTGGATACATTTGCAATTACATGATTATTTAACTCAGTGTTCTAGTTGGTAAC